AAAAACAGAAAGGCAGGCGTAGATGCGCTTGGGCCAGTTTCTGAATCTATTGATTCAGAAGGTGGATTTACAATGTCATTTACAAGGTGGATTTACAATGTCATTCCAACCTCCCGACAACGAGTGTCTGATTTCAGTCTCCTTTGTGCTGGGGTGCGGCAAGGAGGACATTGGTGTAAACAAAAAGTCCTCCCCCTGTCCCCTCCCCATCGTATTCTAGTTTATGCAAGAAACCATCTCCTTAACAGATAGTAGTATTCAGTTTACAAATGATTGCTCTGCTGAACTGGGGTGTGGATTCCGGCTTCTGGCAAGGAGCTGTCCCAGGCGGCTGGAAACAAGAGAGCTGTGAAGCTAGCCTGGTGGCTGTCTTGCATGTTGATGCTTTTAAAGGTGCAGAAGCAAACTAGCAGCCGAGCTCCCAGCGGTATTCTGCTTTAAGCTGGCTTCAGAAATGACAGGTTTGTGGGAGTCATCCTGGGATGAATTAACTCCCCACCCCCAAATGAGCAGCTGTATCCTGTTAGAGACACGTCTAAATCGGATCAGTTCTGACTTTCATGAAAACAAGGACCTATGGGGTGTGGTTTGAAACCGCCCCCCCCCCCATCTTTATGAATGAATATAATTTGCTGCCATAGACCGGCTCAAGTCAGGTATCTCTGCTCATTTTTTATTTATGCTTGCTTGTTTTGTAATTTCGCCTCGCAAAAAAACACTTCACTTCAGTGCACCTTTATATGCAGATATGACCACACATGTACATCATCTTAGCAGTCCACATCGGATGTGGAGCTGGGAGGTAGTCTCAGCTGAAAAGTGGGGGTACAAATATATTTTAAGAGTCTGCTCTTGACTACAGAAGCTTGTGCCATTAAAAAACACCTGCCATTCTTGAAGCTGCTTCAAGATGCTTTGTGGTCAAGGTATGAGCTTTTGTATGAAAAAGTATGCATGCACACGAAAGCCAGGGCTCCCAAGTACTTACCTTAATTCGGCGGGGGATGTATAGTTCTTCGTGGGACCATTTCCACGGGGAAAACACAAGCGCTGCACTATTCTGTCGCCAGACGTGACGTAGGCACGTAGCCGGGCGACGCTCTAGCAATGGGGCTGGAAACTCAATGGTACCATCGAGTTTCCAGTCCCATTAAGAACATAAGAACATAAGAGATGCCAATGTTGGATCAGGCCAAGGCCCATCCAGTCCAACACTCTGTATCACACAGTGGCCAGAAATACCAGTGCCATCAGGAGGTCCACCAGTGGGGCCATTACCAGAGCGTCGCCCATCTACGTGCCTACGTCACGTCTGGGCGACGGAATAGTGCAGCGCCTGTGTTCCAAGCAAGAATCTTCCGGTGAGGAAGCATGTGTCCCCCGCCGGATCGTAGGTAGGTACTTGGGAACCCTAACGAAAGCTCATACCCTGGATAAACCTTTGTTAGTCTTAAAGGTGCCAGTGGACTCTAAATTGGTTTGTGCAAGGAAATTGATGGGCAAAGATGCATCTAGCTCAGCATACTGTTTCCAGTGATGATCAGTCATATGCTTGTGGGGAGAACATGAAGGCAATGGTCCTCTTCTCTTGCTTTGTCTCCAGTGTATTCAGAGGTATACTACCTCTATGAATGGATATTCCAATTACCTAACATACCACTTTTCCACCATAAATGTGCCCCTTTTTCCAAAACTGGGGGGGGGGGAGAGACGAGACACAGTTCAAAAGAACCAGATGGGCTGTGCTTAACAGTACAGCATCTTCTTTACGTGAAGAATGCCTCGGGTTCAATCCCCAGCATGTCCAGTTAAAAGGATCAGGCCGCAAGTGATGTGAAAGACTTGTGTCTGAGACCCTGGAGAGCTGCTGCCAATCAGATTAGACAATTGTGAGGGATTCTGGGGGCCAGGTCCTTTCCCCAGGACACCCAGTTCCCCTGAGTTCATTCACTGGTTGGGTGGAGACTGGCAAGAGACTGAATCTAGTATAGAGAGACAATGGTTCTTAAACAAAGCTCAGTTTATTCCATTATACACTCTTAAGACAGAAAACACTTTGTAGCATTTCAATCTCAGTATTCAACATAGCATTTCAATATTCAACACAGAATATTTCAACCCAATACTTAAATTGTGCACTTGTATAAAACTCAGAATGTTCTGGACTAGTTGCCAAGGTCTCACATGGAACGGCTGACGGCCAGCCCTTTACCATTAGTAACCCAGAAGTATATTTCTTTCTTGGACCTATAACTCCCTGACATAGCTATCACGTAGGACTATCATGAATGTGATGCAGGCCAAACTAGAACTGACTAGAACTGAACCAATGTACTGACCCAAATCCCTCCCCCTTCTCTCTATCTCTGGGGTCAGGAAGCTCACAGAAAATCAAGAAAGTTTGTTTCAAGCTAGTTTCAAGGAAGCTAGTTTCAGACACCCTATCTATTATGATTCTGATAGTGACACCACTAACTTCTGGAATGGAAGGCAAAAGTCATCGGCACCAGAAGGCCACAGAACCAGCAGAGTCCTGAAGCCTCCTGGGAAACAAAACCAAAGATTCAACTATACTTTACTATAGAAATTAAAGCAACATAGCTTTAAACATAAGAACATAAGAGATGCCAATGTTGGATCAGGCCAAAGGCCCATCCACTCCAACACTCTGTATCACACAGTGGCCAGAAATACCAGTGCCATCAGGAGGTCCACCAGTGAGGTTTAACAGAGGACTGAGGCTCAATCCTCAATTCCGCAACAATCATCCTTTATATTGTGTTTATCTGACTCAGTAAAAGGCAGCTCTGTGCATTCAGATGAATGAGCTACATGATTTTAGTGTCCCAGTCTTTGAACACTGCCCCAATGCAGGTGACAGAGTCATTATGCAACACCTTAACAAATCTTCTCACTGTTGATTTATTTAAATGTCTATCTGCTCCAGAAAAACCTTAGCTGTGCAGTTTGGTCTACTCCCTTCACTTTGGCCCATCTCTGAAGAGAACGAACATGCACAGTGAACCGAAACCAGTTTAATTGACACTGCTTCCCTCCACAAACTATGGAGGAATGGTTTGTAGGGGAGCTTGAGACCTCTTTTAGAGATCTCTTAAGTGTTTTTGAAGGACTACACTTCCCAGCATGCCTTGATTAGAAGACAGAGCAGTTGACCACATTTGAAACTGGCTTCAATTTGTAGCGCCGTTGAGCCCCTAGCTTCCATGAGGTATCCTCTCCCTCCATCACTGCTACCAAGTGTTCTGACCGGACTCTCACTAACAACAACTTATTGCGGACAAGCAGGGGACAACCACATTCAGTGCCACTTGGCTGAGAACTGTGAAAGTGGGAAAGCTCTGGTCTCTTTAAATCTCAGAAGCCTGTTTGTCAAGAAAAAAGGAAGGGGCAGAGAATAGCTGGCCCCAGAACAAAAGGCGGCAGCTTCACAAAGCCACTCAGCACAGCTGATTATGGGATCATAGGATGTCAACTGATGAAGCATCAGGAGAGCTGGGGGGGGAGCAAAATTCGACACGGGGGTCCCCCCTGGTGCCGTTGGTTTTTCCAGTTGCCAGGCGAAGCCTGTGAGTACTGAAAGCGACTGGAATGTAGAGCTGTACACCTCAGCCCCATCAAGACTCCCCCATCCCCACTCAGAGGAACAGGCAACAGCAGTGCCTGCTTAGGCACAAACAACAGGAGAGACAAAGAAGGTGCGAATTACGTTTTTTTGTCACACCAAAGCAGGTTGGCGTGGCTCAAGGGTACACAGCTTGTGTGACTCACCCAGCCAAATGCAGCCCAAGAGGGACTCTGAGAGTCTGGTTTTTGTCACCGGCTCAGGGCTGCAAAAATAGTGTGCAAAAATGTGTCTGTTGGACACATGACAGGCGAGATGCTGCTGCTTCCTGCAGAGTCCTTCAAATCCAGGACTACCCACTCTCCCACCTCCTTCCCAGCCAAGATTCTTTTGAAGAAGAGACAAGAAGAGGAAATTGGATTTATACCCCACCCTTCACTCAAGAGTCTCAGAGCAGCTTACAATCTCCTTCCCTTCCTCTCCCCACAACAGACACCCTGTGAGGTAGGTGGGGCTGAGAGAGCTCTGAGAGAACTGCTCTTGAGAGAACAGCTCTGAGAGAACTTGTGACTGACCCAAGGTCACCCAGCTGGCTGCATGTGGGGGGAGTAGGGAATCAAACCTGGTTCTCCCAGATTAGAGTCCGCTGCTCTTAACCACTACACCAAACTGGCTCTTGCAGGAAATTTCCCACTTTGCAGGAAATTGACCTCATAGGATCTCCCACATGCGCTCTACCAGTGAGCTAGAGACCCATAAACACACACAGGATTGCTTCATCTCCACTGGCTGGTAGTGGGTTTCCAGGCTCTAAGGGAGGCTCTTTAGCTGGAGATGCCAAGAATCAATGCTGAGATCTTCTGCAAACTAAGTAGGTGGGCCATGGACATATGTTCATGTGATTCTACACTAACCCATGATGGTCTGGTATATGCACAAAGCTTGCCAGCTCAAACACCAAGCTATGTCTGTCCAGCAAAGGATGCTACCCCATCAACACAGGCAAGGGATACCAAAGAAAACACCAACTGAATGTACAGCCGGAAGCTGATGATGCCGCCACCTGGCCAGAGGCCTTTGATGAACAGGCGCCCGCCTCCTTAGCTGGCTTCATTCATTACAAGCTAGTAGCCCTCCTGCTGTTTGGATAATTCTCGCTTCTGTTCAGGAATAAAGCCCATCAGTGGCTTGAGAGCAGAGGCAGAAAGTGGAGCTTTGCCAGCCAGCCTTCTGGTGGAATGGCCACTTGTGAAAAAGAGGAGGGGGGGGAGTATTTGTGCATGCGTGTGTGGAGGGGAGAATGGAAATGGGAACAACAGCACATTGCCTTCCTTCCCGACTTCCGTTACATCAGATCCCTCCCTACAAGAAGACACTGCCAGAAGAAAGGGAGAGGGGCACGCACGCATTGACTCACCCGGATCCTTCTCATCGCTGCGACAATCTCCACACGGCTGTTGGGTCTTGGCACGTCCAAGCTTCCGATGTACTAGAGAGAGGAACATGAATTTCAAGTAGTGGATAGAACACAAAATTTCCAAGGTGGCAGAGCTCTGCTCTGACATACACGCAGTGCTAAGTACAAGTCGTCATCACCCCATTTGCTTCAATCCAGAGAGTGCATCGCGCCGCATGTGTGCATAATGGCATGCATGGAAAAAACTCCCCAGCACAGAAACTTAATGGGGAAGCGGCAACTGGCATGGAGTTCGGCATATGCAACTGGAGCCTCTGAACCAGGGAGGATGAATGACAAGCAGCTGTCCTAATTAGTAACTGTAGGAGTGTTTTCCTGATTTAAGATGGACAAACCTTTTTTAAAAAGATATACTGCTGCATAGGTTGGCAGATCTGATGCTACCCGTCTCCTGACAAATGCAGGGAGGTGGAACAGACAACCTACTGTATGGCTGGTGCACCTTCAAGGCCTGGGAGGACCCATACGTCTCAGAGGCCATCTCCCCTTTTTGATTCCACCCCCCATTGTGCAGTGGATGGGGAGGGCCCGAGGGCTTGGAGCAAGGCCTCCCTGAGTCCCTGTAACCTCCAAGCAACTGTAGTCAAGACCACCGCAGTGAAGTCCAGGTGGTTCGTGGGGCTTTTGGAGAGGTGTGAAGCCCCCCCCCCCCCCCCGCTGGCTTTTTTTGTGCCTCTAAACAGGATGTTTTGTTTTCAGATCAGCAATAAACACTTTGCATTTCCATAGCTGGGGACAGGGGTCATTTCGTAGAAAAAGAGCTAGGGGAACTCATTAGCATAACTCATTAGCATATGCCACACCCCCTGACATCACCAGAAGTGTGTCATAATGCTGCCACACCCCCTGACATCACCGGAAGTGTGTCATAACTTAAGGCCACACACCCCGCCCCCAACGGTCCCGGCCGCCGGCGGCCTTGCAGCTCCACTGCCGAGCCCCATGAGGGGCCCGGTGGTGGACCTGCAAGGCCGGCGGGAGTGCAAGGAAGCCCCGCGAAGGCCCTCCCTGGCCCCAGGCAGGCAGGGGTGGGGAGAGGCAGGCAGGAGGCAACTTCCCCTCCCTCTTCTCCTGCCTCCTCCTGGCCCCCCCCCCGAAATGACCTCTGGCTGGGGACCTTCCTCATTTGTAGCTCAGTTTCTCAGCTAGCTTTGCGCTTTCTAGTTTACAAGGGTGTTAGTTTAAACTGAACTCAAACTGCTAGGGGTATTTTTTAAATGTATTTTGCTGGCAGCCACCTTAAGCCTCGAAGAGGTGGGATACAGGGTTTCAAAGAAATAAAGACTAGTTGAGGAAGCATTCATCATTTTATTGATGTTATACAGATGGAGTTTTTGCAGGCTGCCAGGGCTAGCAAATGGAGCAGAAGTGCTAGAATAAAAAAGTTAAAATCAAGTTGGTGGTGGTGCTGCTGCTCCCCCCACCCCCACCCCGACTCTGATGTGTCTCAAGAGGTGCCACAGAAGCTCGCTGGGTCACCATGGGCCAGTCACTCCCTCGCAGCTTCATCTACCTGAAGAAAGGCAGCAAAGTTGGTGAAGGCATCTGCTGGAGCCCTGGGAGAGCTGGAGGAGGCAGGACTGGACTAGGAGCCCCAATAATCTGCTTCAGGATCACAACTGCCTTCCTAGACCAGGTCAAAGCTCCAGGTCTGTTGCTGAAAGGAGCCAGTCGAGCGCCTGCAGGAAGCTCACAAACAGCTCAAGATGGACAGTGCCCGTTCCTTGTCATTTATGCACCCCCCCCAACCCATTTATTAATAATTTGCTTAGACAAGACCATCAATGCCTTTGGCATGCTTCTTTACAGCATTAGAAAACAAATCCCACAAAGGAAATTTGTGACTCGTAGGAGCTGCCTAAAGCCCTACAGACAGGAGAGAGGGAAGAGGCAATGAATGGAACCTTTTGAGTTTCATTTCCCATTGCATGAGGCAGTGTACATGATCCAGAACAAACCAAGTGTGTGCGCGCACACACGTAGCCCATGGTTATTAAATACACACTATTTCGAAACCTTAAGAACAATCCAAAGTTAACATCCCTTTGCATCCCTCTCCCCACCATAAACTTAAACGGGGAGTGCGCACAGGCATCTGGGCATTTGCTCATGGAGAAGCACAGAAGTTGTGTCAGGGAAGGAAGGCTGGGCAGCCATTCAAGCGCAGTGCCCATTTCAAAAGGAAAGAGGCGGGCCTTTGCCGTCTAGGGCACCTTGGCAAGGAGAGACCCAGCGCGACAACCTCAAGCCTCTGAAGTCTCTCCCCCCCCCCCTTCTGAGAGGGAGCCAGTGTCCCCTCCCGCAGCCTGTCTTCATGCAGACCTCCCCCATATCCTGCGGCAATGGGGGGGAGGCTCCCTTCACACAGATGGATTGGCAAGCAGGAGGCCAAGGGCAGAAGGCCTTATTGGACTGCAGCTCCCTTCCTTGCTCTGCCAGGGACAGATTCTGTATCTTCACCTGGAAAACCTGCAAAGATTTCCAGCTATCTTTGCACAAAGCAGGTCTAGTCAGTGGTTTCCCCCTCCCCCAGTCCCTTCTGCGCCAGCTGCTTAGATTAGGGATGGTGGTGGAGTAAAAGCAGCAGCAGCAATTCAACTCAGGCAAAACAAGTCATCCCCTGAATGGGCGAAGTTCCGCTCATGTACCAAAGTACACAAGCTTTGGAGTAGCATAGAAGTCTTCGGCCTTTTCCACATGGATGATATACCCAGGTTCAATGCTGTTGAGGAGTATCCCCCCCTCCCACTTCCCCATGGCATCCTGGCGCTTCTATGCACAACCCAGGTTTTCCTCAACTTTGGTGTGATTTCCCCCAAAACCTGCTTTGCTGCACCGTTTTGGGAAAGATCACAACAAAGGCATATTTCCCAGACTCACTCACATAGCAGCCTTTTGCTCTGCCCAGCCCTGTAGTGGCTATAACCCCCTCACCAATGCCACCAGGGAGCTTTTGGAGGGTCTTTTTTTTAGTGGTATTGCTATGGCCATTAACAGTTTCTTTAAAAAACCCTCTTGGCATCTACAGTGTCACCAGGGTTCCCACAGGAAAGTGTTGCTGTGTGGAAAAGGCCTCTGAGAGGTGGTCAGATATTAGCATTTTCATCTACCAGAGCATCAAAGCCAGTTAGAAAACCCACACTGGCAGTCGACCTCGGTTGTTTGAACAGATAAGAGCACTGCTTGCAAGAATCTTAAAATATATTCCCAGCCGTCTGCAGGACTGGCACCTAAGACTTGATGGGGGTTCCTTAAAAACTTCAACACTTTCTCCAGCCTTGCTTCTTCAGATGGAAATGGTCACACCAGTTATTTCTGGTTTGAATGGATGCTTTCCCCTGTAGGCTGCCAAGAATTGGCTCCCTTTCCACTCTGCTTGATGAAGAGCTCTGTGTTAACTCAAAAGCTTGCATCTTCTTTCACCAACAGGAGCTTGGTTCTCAGGTCCAGGGAGCGACTGCAGCCGCACAGTAAACCAGTCACCCCAGGGGAGATCTTCTGGTCTCTTACAATTAAGCGGGCACATGTACTTCTAATCTGATCCTAAGACTATGCAGTCCCTGGAGTAAACTGTTCCCCCCCACCACCAGGTCGAGCCTTTCATTAATCCAGCAGGAAGGTTTCCAATTAATTTATATTTCCAAAACCCTGGAGATTAAAAATAAAACCCAAGGCCAAGCCAGTTTATACTGAACAAAATCATACAAACGTTATGATGACCTTTTAAAAGTCCTTCTACTCCCCACTTCATCTGCCTCCCAAACCGTGCTTGGCTTCAGATCATTAGAACACAATAAAAAATTGTTGGCACAGATTTCGTTTCCTTGGCTGTGGTTCTCCTTTGTAAACCTGATTGCAGATTTTGAGATAAATGTATTTTGACTGCCAGGCCCAGCAACTGGCCTGGGAACAGCAAGTTCCCAATGCCACACAGAGGTGAAACAATTGCTCCAGAGGGCTCCAGCCACAGGCTTCTTAACCTAACTGTTGTGCTCATGCCAGCAGGAAGAGCTGCACCCAAAATCTAAGCAGAGAGGCACAAGCTGCAAGTTCCATGGAAACAACTCCCCTAAACCTTACAGGCTCAGACTGAACATCCAGGAATTCTTGATTCCACCAGAGGCCAATCAGATGCTCTTTGGATGCTCCCAAACACTGCAGGATAGCCGGTGGTTGTTCCTAGAGGGTTGGCTGCCCCTGAGCATGACTTAGCAGCCTTCGACAAGACCTGCCTTTCTTTCCTTAATGCATCAGGTAGCAATGAATTCCGGGGCGGGGAGGGTTGCCCAGGGGCCTACCTAGTTCTAAGCACCCAATACCAACCAACCAGCCAGCCTGAAAGATATGTCCTCTGATTGGCAACCTGGTTTTCTTAATGTGCAGTGTGGGGGGCGAGTTGCTTCCCCCTCCCCCCTCCCCTGCAATAAACAGGCTAAAGCTTCAAGGAGGAAATTTCAGCGTGACATTGGAGTGATGGGGACTAGGGTTGCCAATCCCCAGGTGGCACCGGGAGACCTCCAAAAATTACAAGTGATCTGCAGATGACAAAGATCAGACGACAGAGGTCACTTCCCCTGGAGAAAACGACTGTTTTGGAGGCAGACTCTACGGCATTCTATCCGGCTGAAGTCCCTCCCTTCCCCAAATCCCACTTCCCGCAGGCTCTACCGCCAGATCTGCAATTTCCCTACCCGGAGTTGGCAACCTGGGGGGGGATGTGTTTCCGTGGGGTTCCTGACTTCTCAGCTGGCTGCGAGAGAGCGCCGGAGTCTGACGGAGAATAAGCCCCGTCGAGTTCAACTAAACGTGACTGACTTTCAGGTAAACACGGCCCAAGATCGACCTGAGCATGGGGCTCTCTGCATATGCTCGCAGCACCTCCCTGTGGGGTGGCGAACTTTCACGACGGCAGGGGCTCGGGCTGCAGCGCGCAAAAGGCGAGGGCCGGAGCATGCCTGGGGCGCCCGCCAGGACTCACCTTGGCCTGGAAGTGGATGCCGTGCTGGAAAGCTTCCTCGTTGTGCAGCGGCACCCGCGAGTCGCCCGCGTCGTCCACCAGGTTGTAACGGTTCTTGAGCTTGACCGGCATGGCGGAGGCGGCGGCCGGGCCTCCCCGTGGGGCGCGAGCAACAACCGCATCGCCCGCCAGCCGGCTGGCCGGCCGCCCCGACGGCCCCCCTCGCCGAACGCCAACAGGCTCCGGCGCCGCTCAATCGGAGGTTCGCGGCTGGCCAGAAGCAGCCAAGGACGGCGGCGGCGGCGGCGGCGCCCCAGACTCCTCCCCCCTCTCCGCCCCGAGTGATGCGCGACGTCGGGGCGGAGTGGAGGCGGGCTGGCGGAGCCACTTGGAGGGATGCGAAGGGGCGGTGGGTGGGGAGGGGCGACATTCAGCGAGGAGCCCCCGGGCCCGCGAGAGATGGCTCCTTCGGTGCCATCGGAAGACTGCCTTCGTGTGTCCGTCTTGTGTCGGAGGAGCGTTTCCCTACGAAGGACTTGCTCTAGGTGGAGGAAAGAGCGGGAGGCAGGGAATCGGGGCCTGTGCTTACTATGGAAACCTCGGAAAGCATTTAGGGCCGTTCTGGACAGCAAGAATCGAACCACATTGAAGTCAACGAGGTTTTCCGAGTTATACGCATATGGATTAGGCTGCGTGAATTTTAGGAGCTATGGGGACTTGCCCCCGTCCGTGATAAGCCTGAACCCCAAAAATGTTCTGACAGAGCGGTTTCCCCCCCCCCCCCGTAAGGGCGGGGGGTGCAATGAGAAAGAGTTAACACTTCCCCCCTACGCCATCTTCCGGATTACCTTTCCAAGTTGTTCCTTGTGCCACTGAAGAAAACACATCCCTATTGTAATGGGCCCTGTTTATCCCTGTCCTAGGTTTTATCTTCTCAACAACCCTGTGAGGTAGGCTGGGTTAAGAAGTATTAGCCCTAGGTACCCAGGGAGTCTCAGGACTAAGTGAAGATTTAAAAGTGGATCTCGCTGATAACTGTGCCCCTGTGCCACACCAGCCACATTTGGGCTGCGATCACACACACTAAATAATCCACTTTCAGGGTTCCCCCACCCCCAATGTGTTTTGCTCCCTTTGTCTGCTTTGACTCTCAAAATCCTGTTAATTTCTAAGATGCTGCTGGACTTGAATCTTGCTCTTCTGCTTCATACTTGTCTGAAACAATTTTGTCTGCTTGTGGATGATCTCTGTTCATTTCAAATGGGGTGGGGGAGAGAAGCTGGCAAAGTTTACAAGATTGGAGCATAAACCCCCAGTGGGTTGAGTGCCTGTGCCCCTGTCCACCTATGGTCAGGGCAGGGAGGGAGCTGAAGGGCTACTAGGCACACCTGGGAGAACCAGACCTCGTCTTCACAACCATCTGCTGGGACAGGACAGGGGATATTCCCAGGTCTAGCTAAGGGCCCAGTGTCACACACTGGGCTGAGCAACTGGCTTTTCCTACCTTTGCTGTGGTTGCCCTCTGACTTCTCAGGATTGTGGCCATTTGCAGTGTTCCCTCTAAGCTGAGTTAGTGTGAGCTAGCTCACAGTTTTTTGGCCTCCGGCTCACACGTTTCTCTTAGCTCAGAAAGGATGGCTCCAGAGCAAACTAATTTATGCAGTAGCCAAATCGCTTGCTCACAACTTTAATGCCAGTAGCTCACAAAGTAGAATTTTTGCTCACAAGACTCCACAGCTTCGAGGAAGCATTGGTGGCCAGTGTCCTTATCTGACCTGTATGCGACAGGAATTTTGTCAGCAAAATCACTTGGGTACTGCCTGTGTTTTGGAGTTCATGTGTTTGACTCCTCCTTTCCATTTTCGTTATGATAATCTATCATGTCTCCCCAGCAAATATGCCCAGATTTATGCCAGCCCATAATTTATTCATCAGATCCCGATGTGGCTTTTGCTTTTGCATACGCTAATAAATTAATTTCGCTCTGCACTGCTCAGCTGCAGGTTCTGGCATCTAATTTTCTTTAAGCGCTTTCCTCCTTTATCTCCTCTCTCATTTGCCTAATGCTAGCGGGTGTCTGATGGAGCTTTTTCGTCTTTTCTCTGTGTACTTGAGCCTTATTTAAACATGAGCGGGAGAGAGAAATTTACTTACCCTAGAGAAGAAGTACTCTTGGTGGACTTGCTTGTAAGTGTCATTTTACCAAACATGGGAAAGCCAAAGAGATTACTTTGGGGGTTCTCTCTGTCCATTGCAGAGTCAAGTTCAGAGCCAAGATAAATATTCACAGGCCTTTGATGCTTTGCAAAAGTCTCAATTTCCCCCCCTTCTCAAATTGGCATTTTAGTGGGGAAATTATTAGGGCCGTTGTAGTGGGAAACTGAGATAGAGACCACCAGGGAGTCAGCAAGGAGAGTCAACAGTTGTTTATTAAGCATGCGGTACAGCCAAAAGCACCTCTCGGGGCACTTTCAAAACAGGGCATGTACCCAGAGTGCAGGTGGGACAGACTTATATCGATTTTCCACAGAGTACAGGGGAAAAAATCATTTCTTAGAATTGGCATGCAAGATTATCACAGACATTGACCATGAAGCCTGAGGCATTGTGTTCTTTTGCAAAACCACAAACATCCTTGGCTGGTCACATGTCCCTTGTGGGAAGGCCGATAGTTTTCTGTCATCAGCCAGGTGTTAACTTTCTTGATAACAGAGGTATGCACTGAGCAATAACAACAAGCAAGCAGAGGTCATCATTTCCCCCTAGTTACGGCCTTAGTGACGCCTAATATGGTCATGCAATCTTGTGTTCCGCAAAGGCTCTATTTCTAGTCTCTGGTTCTCCTATTTGCAAAAGCTATGTTCCCTTAATGATTTGCAAAAGCAAATGCGTTTCCCTAATGGAATGGCCTTATAATGCAAGCAAATTGCAGGTAAATGCTTTACCGTCACCTAGTTGAAGAAATCTTGGCTAAGCATATAAACTGATTGATTGACAATCCATATCTGCAGCAAAGCATCTTCACAGAAGGGGCATTCCTGTGAAGGAGGAAGGAGGAATGCCTCTTCGAAGATGCCTGTCCACAGATTTGATAAATACAGTACTTGCATTTAAATATTTATCTTGTATTGCATTTGGTGCACTAAAGCTGTGGTACAAACTATAGGTACATCAGGGAAGAGTACAGAAGAAAGGATAACTTCATGGGGACAGTAACTGAGAAAGAGGGGGGAAGAATGGACTTGGGGTTAGAAATATTGAAGACAGAGAAAGGCAGGCAACATGGCTGGGTTTCCATGCTCTTTCTATTGTGATCAGGATGTGCGTGTGTGCTCACATGTGTCTATCAAGCCAAACATCTCACTTGCTTATAGTAATTCAAAATGTTTTTAAAAAATATTTTGACTAAATATTGGGTAATATTTTACATTAATCAAAGGAGTTCTGGTTTACTAATTTAAATGACTCGTTTACTAAGGTTGCCATCCTGTCTATACTTACTTGGGAGTAAGCTTCATTTAACGCAGTGGAACTGCCTCCTGCATAAGCCGAAACAGGATTGCACTGCAAACACTGCAACCCCTTGGAATTTTATTTGCTAGCCAAGCATTTAATTTTATTTATTTAAATCAGCTAAATTAAAAAAAATCTCCCTTCATTTTACTCTAAAGGTGACACTGAAGAACATTAAAATAAGTACAAAAAAAAGACCTATGATAAACGATTAAGCTCATCATGTAATAGTTCATTCTTTTAAAAAGCAATTTGAACCCTTATAAAAAACAAGTAACCCCAGCAAGAACAAAAAGAGTGCCGTCAGAAGAAACCATATAGGCCCAGCAACTCAATACTATCCCCTCCTGTGTTCCCTCTAAGCTGAGTTAGTGTGAGCTAGTTCACAGTTTTTTTAGCCTCTGGCTCACACATTTTCGTCTTAACTCCGGAGGGATGGCTCCAGAGCAAACTAATTTATGCACCAGCCAAATCGCTCGCTCACAACTTTGATGCCAGTAGCTCACAAAGTAGAATTTTTGCTCACAAGACTCCACTGCTTAGAGGGAGCACTGAATTCCCCTCACCCTAGAAAACTACCTGAGGACCTCACCAGTGAGCTCTCTGCTGAAAAAGTGAGAAATACCCCTCCCCCGCTCCTCTTCAGTGCTTTGCTGTTTTTCAGCAGCGTTCAAGTTGCTTTGGACCATCTTTTTAAACTGGCTGGTACTAGTTTTTTTAGCATCTGGGAATCTTCCAGGCTCTGTTACTGCCTGCAATTTATTCTAATTGTCTGGAGATTTTTAATTGGCATCGTGCCATTTTATTATTTTTCAACCACCTTGGGCACTCCTGTTTATTTTTTAATTTACAATATTTATTAGCTGCCTTTCCCCCTACAGAGCTCATGGTGGGTGTTCTGAATGCAAAGGCATTAGCTGTGGCAATGGAGCATCTGTATGGTGGTTTTCCCCTTGCATTCCCATCCTTGAGCCCCCTGTGGCCCCCATTCACTTCCACGACACAAATTGGTAAGTGATACATCACTGTGGCCTTATAACACTATGGTGATATCAAGTTTGAGTCCAGTGGCACCTTTAAGACCAACAAATGTCTGTTTCACTGTATCTGAAGAAGTGTGCTTGCATGGACTCAAACTTTGTTCTGCAGCTTCAGAACAGTACAGCTACCTGCCTGAAACTATTAATTAATTTATACCCCACCCTCCCCACCAAAGTCGGGGTGATATGTCAGTTACCATTGTATGGTGATATGTCAATTACCATTGCCTTTTAAAAGAAAAATCCTCCTGGTGGTGACAGGGAATGGCAGCCACGGGGGACTGGGGTGGTAAAAATGGCACTGATGTGTGTGGGACCTGGAAAAACCCTGCCCCTTCCCATCCACTGCAACACGGGCACGAGGCAGCTCCATATGTTCAGTTCAGTTCTTAGCCCTTTATTACAGTACAGTTGCCAGGATGATTTCAGAGAAGCCGTGAGGGTTTAAGCGATATAAAACTGACATACATTGGTAGAGTTAAAAAAGGTCCGCCAGGGAGCTCATGCTGTCCCCTCGTATATCGACTGCCCCTAGTCCAAGAGAATACTGCTCTTTTAGCGTTTTGTATTTTGTATTGTTTATTTGTTTAGGATTAGTCTTTGCAATTGCCAGCTGCCTTGAATGCATTGACAGAAAGGTGGCACATAAATATAGGAAACAGAATGGCACTCTATGAAAAGCAAATTCCCCACATTCAGTCACAGGTTACTGTGACCGAGAGAACAGATCTCA